TGTAAAACAAGCTTATAATGAAGTGCCAGAGACAGATGACATTGCTTCGTTACACTTTATCAGCCTGATTCGTTGCATCCAGTTAAGTTTACAATATTTTAAAATCGAGGGAAATAAAAGCCCTTCTAAAAATAAAATATTGTTATTGCGGTATGTATGATACTATCTATTACTACTTCTGCAGCATAATATAGTAACTGTAAGTCATGAAGTATAAGTGATTAATGAAAATGACTTTATTATATTTTTTCCCAAAGTTAGGAATATTTCTATCATCAGTAGTCTTTTTCGAAAGTGTTAGCCATCAAGTTTGATAAAGAAGTCTAGCCACCAACTTTCAAATTTGAAGCTTACGATTTTCAAAATTATTTCTGATTAAGATTTCTTTCTTTTTATGAATGTTTTTGTTCAATAAACCCGGCCGATGGGCCAGATATGAAAAAGAAAGCATTGACACTTTGTCAGAATGGATTAAATGTAATAGAGATATGCTAAAATCGGGCAATTAGACGATAAGGGCCAATATGAAAACCATCTATCCATCTGTATTCAATAATTCAGAAGGGAAAAAAGAAAGATAGAATACATCATCAGAACAGACTGGTCCCTGCTGACAAAGAAGGTAAAATATTGTCTTTGTTTGTAAGGTTCGTTATATCAAAATGAATTTGAATAATCATATCTATATTTGATACCGAAACTTATGAAAACGTACAAAAATCCTCATAAACAAAGATACATAGCGGGTTCCAGTAAATGTTCGACCAAGCCTCTTTTTTTTACTCCCCACAAAGACATTAACAGTAGTGAAGAAAAAACTTTAAGAGAATTGTTCAACAATTTATTCGAGAAGTGGCATAAATCAGATGTGCATACTAAATTTTTCCAAAGAACTCTTGGAACATTGAAATCACAAGAAATGACCAAAATAAACAACATAGAATCTCACGACTTTACAACTTTATATACAACTATTCCCCATGATGAATAAAAGTACATTCTTTCTGACATTATTTATAGCCGCTTTTTCAATGAAAATGGAACTTGTAAATTTTACTACCTTGTCATATGCCATCTGTTAAAATACTTTGCTGAAGATATTCTAATTGTACACACAAGTACTCTGAAGTTGATGTTTTGGAGGTCTGTGTTTGCTCCGTTCCTATTTGGTATTGTTTAATGGATTTTTGAGCTCGAATATAGTTCGTTATCTCCAAACATTTTAGTTTAGAAATACCATTGCTTTTCAATGTAATATCAAAAAGTCCATCTATTCATACTTTTTGACTTCGCAGTAAAGGTTTAGATTTGTTAGTTTTTTAAAGAAATAACTTTGTATAAAAATGCTTGTGACACATAAAACAATTTACACTATATGTAAAGATTTATGTGTTGAAATTGTTTTCTGAGAATAGAGAAATTTTTAAGATATAATGCTCTTAACTTTCCATTTGGAAATTACAAAAAACAAATCTCTAAGCAAAAATGTACCACGCAGACAGTGTAATAAAAAACTTAATTGTATACTTTGTAAGTTTTAATTTATCATCAAACGTTATGCAACTTTGCAAAGTACATGCCATTTCCTTAATGTTTAGTGAAAAAAGTCGCTTTTTGGGCTTGAATGACTTGTTGGATAGACATCAAAAGGCTTACTTTCAAAAAAAAATATTGCAAAAACCGCCCATGGGAGAATGGTTTAATTAGGCATTGTTCATAAGGAAGTCATTCGGCGAATGGTTTAAGTCTCATCACATATACTGAAAAAATATACCTGCAAACTTAGAAAAAAGGATCCATTTTAAAATGAAAGAACATGAAGAAATCAATACATTTGATTATATACGTAGTGCAATACTAAGTATGATTATATAGCTAAGAATAGTCTCATAAAATACTATCAACAATCTAGAGAATTTTAGCGTTCAATATCTTGGCCTTTTATTGAACGCTGAGTTTGTATTACGTATACGAGTATGCCCGAAACATTCCGAATACGAGCGTTCAATGTTGAACGCCCCGTTGTAAACAAAAAAAAAGTCGTCTGCTCAAATTCTCAAAGCTAAATTAAAGAAAGAAAGTAGCATCTAGGTAAGATGTATTTATTTTTTTACACAAAAATGAAATTATTTATTAAAAATTTAGTACGTATTAGACCCAATGAAACAAATACAATCATAAGGCTCGGTAGGGTCATCGGAATGATGCAATATTGAACACTTACAGGACAAGTGTTAATTTGAATACCGATACTAAAAACTCATTAATTTGAGGGTTTTGTTTTTAGTTGGAATAATTATTATGACTTATGAGGAAATGTTTAGCTATATAATAAAGGAGTTATTGAACTTATATTGGTGAATACTGGCACTCGTTGGCAGTACAATAAGTACTCACAAGCTCTTGCATATGTACAGCCAACTTGTGCCAATATTCAACAATATAAGTTCAATAACCCTATAGTATTAAAGTAAAAGATAGCTAACCATGATTAATCTGATTTTTGCTAGTAGCTTGTCACTGCACTCAAACACGATCCTCAGTAGTCAATAAAACATTAAACAGTTAAAATTGTAAAAAGATGTGATAGACTATTTAGAGTTATTTATTTCGAGTTTACTAGGAGATACAAGTATCCATCTAAAATAATGAAGAACATCATTAATTTCAATTGATAAATTCTGTCAATGGCGATAAAAGTTTAGTTTGAAAATTAAAAAATGGACTTTCTTCGTCCTGTGTAGAAGGTCCTGCTGTATAGAAATATTAATAAAAAGGCTGGTTAATAGAGCACGATTTCTTTCCAACAAATTTTAAACAGATTATTGGAACATTAAGTATCTAAAGGCAATATAGAGTAAACTCAAGAATCTTTTTTATAGTTGTACTCGCCTGCGTGGTTCGTGTGTAGTCGCTCGCGTGATGCAGTGGTACTTGTAGGAACGTCTGCACTCACTTGAGTCGATGAGTAAGGAATTGATCCTTACGTCGCGGGTTCGAATCCCACTGTTTGACATATAGACCGGTCATCGGGTGAGACCTTTTAAACCTAGGTCCTGTGTCGCAGTAGGTGCTTTAACAAAATTTATCCTCATGCTAAATGACCTTGAGTGCCTAGTTTAGGTAAAAAATTTCAACTGTCAATCGGCAAGTGGTGGCGTTTCCATATGATTGAAAATTCTCGAGAAGGAAGTTAAACAACAAAACACAAACAAATTACTTGAATAGAGATTTATGGTATAAGTGCAATAGAAGAGCAGAGAATTAACTTATAAAAACGGATTTTTTAAAATTTATCGATGTTCGAAAAGTTGTTTGTAGTTTTAGCTCACCTGAGCTGAAAGCTCAAGTGAGCTTTTCTTATTAGCTGTTGTCCATCGTCCATCCGTTTGTCCGGCTGCCTGTCAGTCCGTCTGTAAATTTTTCACATTTTCAACTTCTTCTCCACTGGACCAGTTTAACCAAACTTGGTACAAAGCATCCTTGGGTAAAGGGGAGTTTGAATTAAAAAAAATGAAGGGCCAAGTCCCCTCGGAAGAGGAGATAACCAAAACAAAACAAAATTAGGATGGGATCATTGAAAAAAATTCTTAAGAACCACTGGGCCAGAAAAGTTAAACTTATATGGAAGCATCCTGGAGGTAATAAAGATTTTAAATTGTTAAATCATGACCCCCGAGGGTAGGGCGAGGACACGATACGGAATCCAAGTTTAACATTGAAATATATACAAAAAATCTTCTTCACAAGAACACACTGGGTTAGAAAAGAAGATATTTTTATGAAAGCATTCAAAAATAATGTAGAGCTTTAAATTGTTCACATCATGATCTCCGAAGATAAGGCGGGGTCAAAATCGGTGCTACAAGGGGAATTCTGTTAAAGAAAGTATGGTCAAAGTTACTCAGGTGAGGTATGCGGCCCTTGGGCCTGTTGCTTTTAGAATCTAGAGCTGATTTACAAAACTTTTGATGATGTTGTAGCGCAATACATCTGAAAAATATCCTTCACACCATGTATATTTTGGTGATAAAGGTTTTTTTTTTAAATATTAACTTTTTGAAATAAAAATGCATGAATATTTAAATGAAAGAACATGAAACGAAACTGTTAATTCGTTTTTCTTGATGTATTCAAGATTGTTTTCAGAAGGATCGATAAAGGTTTTCTATGCGAGGATATTAATTAAAAATATACATAAATGATGAAAGGAGCATTAGAAATATCTTTTCTTTAACATTTAATGAATCAAAATATTGTCTTTTATTACAGAGAAAACTAAGATATTTTGTAACATTTGGTTGCAAGTACGTAACCTAATGTGCATTTGCCTGTTTTCACACAATGGAGTTTGCCAGAACATATATAAAAACGAAGATTGCACAGCAGTTCAACAAGAAATAATTTCTTTACGAAATACATTTAAAGACCTAAGTACATCAGTAAATAAAATCATTGAGGCAATAGACAAAAGACTGATTGCACTTGAATCCAGAGGTATGACTATCAACATCAATTTTAATTGTCATTGTAATAAAAATAAGATGGAGATTACATAATTTAAAGCAATATGAGCTGCATGTTTGACATCGGGAAAAAATATTTCAAATTTTTAATCAACTTTTTCAATGAGAGAAAAATAAAACATCTATAAACTTCTTTTGTTCATATTTGCGATGGAGTATTTTTTATAAGCTTTGATTGAAGCAAAATTGAATTACTGTCGTCATGTACAATAATTATTTCTTATATAATACTGTATATTAGGTCGTGCAGATATATTTCTTCTGCATGAAACATTTTTTCACTTTATTTTGGTTTTATTCATCATAAGGTTTAGATAACATACAGATTAATCATAATTACACATTTTACCGGCAAAATAAAATTCTCAAAAATCCAGCTCATATCGCTTTAATAATGAGAAATAGCAAAAACATTTTCTTGCTGATATTTTATGACCAATTTAAACATATTTTTTTCTTTGATCAAAGTCTGTGGCCTAAATTGGACATATTTTCGTCAGTCCGGCTATTTTGTTTCATTTGATGAATTGACATGGGTGAATGCACAGGTATAAATTCAAAAAAAAACTTTCAATGTTTCGCATTAAATTTTTATAAATCTATAATTCATATGCATCAATAGTTTGACGAAAGTTTTTTTTAATGTTTGGTATTAATACAGCAAAAATGTTCCCGAAATGGCAGTACGTTAGTAGAAATTGAAACGCAAGAAGAGAATAATTTCATTATGAGCATTCTTAAGCCGGACCAGAGAGAAGGTAAGAGATACTAGACAAAATACCTGCAACCTGATTAAATCTATTCTCCTCAGCCAGACAGCCAAGTCTAGTTTAAGAATTATTGGTTTAGTATGATGACATAGTTTAATTTTTAAGTACAAATTAGACGTCGCCCCTTTAATGTAGCCTTAACTGTGCTGGGAAGTTTTTATATTGTTGATTTTTGTAAAATTTTGTGATTTCAAATTTTCAAAAATTCCTAGGAATGCTTTGGTATTCAAAAATGTTTTACCCCACTTCTAAATTTTGTTATGGCATAATTCTCCTGAATTTTTTCTGTTGCTGGTTTAATATTTTAGCGAGGAATAAAGAATGACGCTTGGTTTTTGATTGTTTGTTAGCTGTCGAACGTCCCTCTTGAGAATTACTTATATGGACACGCCACCACTTGCCGATGGAGAGCTGTAAAATTTGACCTATGCTTCGCATGCACTGAAAGCAACTGAGCAGTGAGGGATTATTTTTGTAGCTCTCCATCGGCAAGTGGTGGCGTCTCGACATGAGTAAAAAAATCTCAAGAGGAACCTTAAACAACAATAAATTAATCAATCCTTTCCTTTGTAGACAACACTCTATGGATCGGTGCTACAGATATGGTGACAGAGGGGAAATTCTTATGGAATTCCACAGGACAACCCTTAACATTTAGCAATTGGAGAGAAAATGAACCAAATAATTTCGATAACATTGAAGACTGTGCTTCTTTATATGCTAGTGAAAATAGGATAGGTCAATGGAATGACCGCCCTTGTTTCCGGATTACTAAATATATATGTGAAATGAAAATTACTTAAGGAGGCCGATTGGGGTTTTATTGTGTGAAAACTACAATAACGAAACTCTTCATTTTTATACCATATATAACATATTAACTTTAGTGTTCATGCAATGTTTGGGAGAAATCTACCGTCCAGGTATTTTTACGGGACCGTCTCAAAATATAGGTACATTAACTATAGGATTATATAGGAAAGTGCCCATTTTTAGCACTTTTAATCAAATTATGCAAAAATACTACAATAGACTTTTTGTTCAGACTATAATATATGATGAGTAATACTATGTTGTACATTATATGTGAAACTCACAAAATTCTACCGTCTTGTTAGCAGAGGGGGCATCTCAAAAAGCCAAAAATTTACGAATTTAACTGTTTTTTATAGCGTACTACAAAATATGACGGGAACAAAGGTATTATATGAAAAAATGATAAGGATAATGAAGAGATTCTCAACTTTCTGTGTTTAAAATTTCAAGAGCGTATGTTTATTAATTTTTATTGAATAACATTTTTA